GTGGAATTCTCGTGTTAATCACCTGTTCGGGGGTGTCAACCTGCAACCTCGCTCATCTCGGAGCTTTCGCATTCTCCGTCCTGCTCCGGGGGGCTTTCTCTCCTCGGAGGCAGCTCAAATTGACTCGACGATGCTGGGTCCATGTATGCCTGCACAGTTTCTCTGCAGAGCAAGTGACTTACTTGGCTGACCTTGGTAGGTAGGTGACCGGGTAGGTACCCAGGCTAGCAGGCAGGTATGCACCTGCGTTGGGGTACATGTACTTGTAAGTAGGCAGGTATAGAGATAGGTGATAGGTATGCAGGTACATGTATGTCGGCCTTGCCTTGTGCTGTAATGCATGTTTCGAATACTTGGGCAAGCGAGACTCAGCCCAGAGGATGCTTGTGGCCTGCAATCTGGCCGGTCCGACGATGACACCGTTGAAACAACGCCCAGTTAATCTCTAATGACGCCCTCTGGACTTGCTTTCCCCTAGTTTCTTCCAGCTGGCGCAGCAGCTTGGGGCCACAACTTGATGGACCCACCAGGCTCAGATTGGCTCGAAGAGACAGAACCACGCCCCCCCTCAAGCTGCGTCGACTCCTCCTGCACCTTCCATGTTCCTCCTCCACCGCTGCGCCCACACCACCTTCAGTCTCGGCGGCTGTCACTGGCTCGTTCCTGCCAGCCTCTGCCAATGTCCCATCCCATCGCATCCCAAGCGTGAGCCTTGCCTCTTCGAAGCAAGTTCCAGCAAATGCAGTAACGCAGTAACGCGCTTCCAGGGCCAGGCCGATGCCAGACGAAGAGGAGCACGAGGGAATAAATCCTCCCCCATCATTACGTTGCACATTGCTGCTGGCCGGGGTCTGGCGTTCCCACTCGCGATGTTTTGCTGCTGCTGTATGTGGAGGTGAACGAACTGCCCCCCAGTGACCAGTGACCAGTAACACGCAGGCAGGCCGTAGGCTCTGTCCACCCTGGCAGTCCTTCGATGGCCCGTTCTCATTACTCGCCTGA